TATGGTTTTTCTCGTAGATTGGGATAAAGGATAAAGCATTTGCCGTTGATCAATCCCTTTTTGGGATGCGGCACGCATTCTACTTCCATTTGTACATTCGCAGTGGCGTTTGAATGCGATGTGGCCTATACAATGACTTGCGGGGCCAGCCGATGTACAAGTCAGTGTTTTTATCCTCCCAGACAAGAATGGTACCATCTAGCTGACCTTGGAGGGATGGAAGGCTTACAGCAACAATTCCAGCTGTATTTGCTGTCGATATTAATGGGGTGGAAAGACACTAGTTTATTACCTCGACCATTGTTCACCCTGTTGGAGAGTGCTCGACTAGTTTCTAGCAGCTTTTAAAGGTGGGTTTTTTTCCCAGTAGCTTTTCAGATGTTCTTGACCAGGGCTAGTGCAACTTTCCACCCCATTATTATCGAAATTAGAAACCCTGCTGAGACTGTTATTTCAGTTGGCCCAGACGACGCATGGCCCAGGGTTTGGTATCCGGACCGAGTAGTGGTAAGCAGCGTTACTTTCCAGAGCACCACTTCCACCCTCCCTATAAATTACCCTTGTATTTTCAAAGGATGTGCGTACCACGAATAAGAGGCGAAATGAATACGTGAAGAAATCTGGAACTGCCTTCACTTTTTGCAGAAGTGACTTTTCTCTTACTAGCCTAGCTTTTCATTCCCTAGTTCCATCATCAGTGCAAGCATTTGCGCAGGAATCCTGAAACTTCATTTTCCTTTTACACCTTTCCTTCATATGTGCCAAGCGAAAAAAAGGTCAAACCCGGAGTATGAATCAATGCAGTGACGAAGCTGTTGCTGTTGTTAGATGTTGTCCTAGTCATGAATCTAAATTTACGAAGCTTTATATTTCGTATTTTTTGAGAGCTGGGTTTTGCTGCCTAAACAGGGTGCGCCAAAATTACGGCGACAACGGATGCGCATACAATTTGAACCACTATTCAAAGATGCTGTTTACTGCTGCGCTCATTTTGGTTTTGTTGTGTTGACCTGTTCATAATTATCTTGTTTGACCACCAATATGTATGATTGTTACGATGGCTGAGTGATTCTGCCGCCATTTCTAGATCACTGAACTTCAACTTTGAGAGTTTCCGGCACGCAAGAATTATCAGCGTTTTGGTTTTTACCTGGGTACCAATCATGGATCCACTAAACGCTCCAAGGAGTAAGGAACCGAATGCACTCATTCTGGATGGGAAGGCTGTGTTTCCGAGACGGCCACGAGCAATGTCAGCATGGTGCGCAACAGAATTTGGTGGCACTTCGCGCACTCGTTCCGCCGAATGTCACGAGAGATGGACATTAAGGAGATTACTTGAGAATTCCCAAGCAAATTGCCATCTAAGATTTGGAAAAACATTGTTTGATCTTTCATAAGGAAGGGATTTCCATAAGGCAAGGGTGGTGCAGAACTGGGTCAGAGCCAATTTTGTCGAATTCATCACTTTCAACGAGTTGGTCAGCATTTCAGATTCAATATAAATGGGTTACACTGTGGAATTGATTCTGTAAGCTAAAGCTTGCATGGAACTTCACATTTTTGGGGATTATTTTGAAGAATTGCTTCAGAATACGTAGGACGGGTTCCACGCACCACCTTGCGTGCCACCGTCGATGGTTCCTCACTGCTTCTCGACGCCCGTATAAGTATATAGGTTGTAGGGAAAGTCTTTGCGGTTTTCGACAGTTATCGTTTAACTGACTTTTTGAAAGAAACAAAACACATGAGGAAGCAAGGTAATCACCATCACACTCTATCACTCTTTGCCACTTTTCGGGCAGACTTCGGCTGCCTTCAGCAAGGAACTGCCCTGAGCTCGACTTGAAAAGTTACTCAACCAGCGATCAAAGTCATCTTCCTATTCCAACGTTTTTCTCTTGTAAAGCATTCGATAGCGAAAGGGAAAAGGTGGTAGTCCGTCGGACCAGTATCCTGGCTGTGCGGTGAGTTTCTTCCCACTTCCCATCCCAAAAGTCGAGTTGCTTCAGTCGGGTCACTGTGTAGTGTGTGGACGAACGTTATCGTGCAGGATTCAGATCATGCCGCAATTTCTACCTTCCCTACGATCTCGTTGACCAATTCTACCTCTGCTTTAATAGTACAAGTGCACCGCTGAGAGAGTAGCGCAGCGCGGCAGTAGCTCACAATGGATAATTCCTTAGCAGTCGCATTCGTAATAACGGATCAATAATAGTTTCTGAGGTGAACATCCTGCCTCGTCCCTTGCGTCCATGCTGTACGCCTATTGTCAATCCTCCAATGTGTCGCGGCTTGCTCAGGCGAGACACCACTTCTCATTCTCTGGTTTGACGATGACTTCGTCACAGTCCATTTAATGCACCTTATCGAGAGCAACATTCTTAGACAAACTCGACGGTGAAGACATCGGTTCGGTCCAGTCGCGGGTGTATCCACACTCCCAGGAAATAATCCGGCGTCTTGGTGCTAGGATGCCCACATCCCCAACAGAGTTAGGTGATCGCGATGAATCCCAAACGAAACACCGATGCACCCCGATTTACGACAACAGTTGCCATAATTCTGCCCGCCGCAGCTAATGCACAAACGATGCGATTGTCCGCTCTTTCAAATCCACGTTCCGATCAGGCAGAAACCTTCAACTCGGTCTCCCTCACGAAGCGCGTTTGAGCAACGTTTTGCTGCAGATGCAATTGGATGCCCTTAATGCTTGATAATTACGAAACTGCAACATATATGTATGTCCCTCATTCAATTGAGGCACCAAAGCCAGTAAGCTGTAAGGCATTGAAAGCAAGTAAAAAAAATGAGATTTTTAGAAACGCGCCAAGACTTTCCCTACTAACCTAATACCAATAAGGAATTTCTGAGATTTGGCAAATGTTCACGATTCACTATTGTACAGTGAACGTTAGTGCATTTTCGACTTCTTGGAATTGTGACATGTTCATTCTAGGCGACCCGGAATCGCTGTCGCCGTAATTTTGGCGCACACCCTGTCGTTTTGATTTGTTTTTGTTTGTTAACTGCTGTTTTTGGCGCAGTTCGCCTTGCGAACGTTTCACAACCCAGCTGCTTTTAGTGATTTTTTATAGTTAACAATCATTTGCCATGCTGAAACATGCTGTTTATTCTGTGTTCATTTCAGACGAGGTGCGGAGTTGGCTCGTTGGGAGAGAGCCGTAGACTTCATCAACGCTAACGAATCACGTATATCCACGGAGACACGTGTGCTTCGTGGCGGACAGGAGTGCGATGTTTGGAAATGGATTCCAGCAAAACGTACCGGCTGGCAGGGATCGGGTAGGCTCTAGACTATGCATGTCAATCAAAAGAAACGTTGAGCGAAGAGGGCCGCATATTTCAAGTGAACTTGACTGTTTCAATTGTGACACTTTGTTGAAGAGCAAAATAATAGTTAAAAGTGATCTCGTGTTCTAGTATATCACGGATCCACTTTGGGAGCCAACATCCTTACACTTCGTAGTTCGTTGTTGTGGTCTGTTTGTTTGTTATGTTGTTTTCAACTCGAAGTGCACATCGCGATCATTCACTATCACGATTACTTCGATTTCACACTTAACAGATTATCTTTCCTTGCATTTACTAATTTTTCTCGTGGTTGACAAATTCATGTTAATATATATTATACTCCGATTTTCGATCGGTTCAGTTATGTACATCTTCTCATCACTGCAAATAGTTTGATATTTATCAAAATTGGGGGCTACTTTTGAAGTTCCTAAACTGTGTGCTTTTTGGCAAGTTACAATATCCACGTTTATCATTCATCATCTATTATTTTATTATTGAAATAAATCGCTTTCGTCATAGCATTTGGAATTATAATCAATGTCATCTTACTATATCAGTTACAATTTCGAAATTCAAAGCGTTGATATTTTGGAATGGAGTAGTGCTGGCTTGATAAAAAGTGCAATAATAAATGTGCTCTAGGAATAATTATTTCAAGAGTTCTTCGCCTCCTGTAAAAAAATGAGTCACTCAAAAGCTCTTTTTGTTCACCAGGGATTAGAATTTAAAATGTTTTGTGGAAGTTTGTCGGTAATTTCTGCAATATGTTTGCGAAATTTCCAGCTTTCGCACCTCCTCCGGGGATGAGCGTACCGTCGTCATCAAAAGTGTTGTCACCGAACATCCCAGTCGAAGCTCTCACACGTTGTCTAAAGATCAGAGATATGTTTGGCAAAGAAGATGTTGACGAACAGGAGTGAGTTTAGAGACTAATTCTTTGAAGCAGAGTCTTAATCTTAAAGTCTCAACCCGTATGAACTCAAACGAAGTGTGACAGATTGTCAAATTAGGAAGCAGAGCCGGTTGCAGTTGTAAAAAAATTCGGAATTTGCTGTTTCAAAAAGGCGAAATTCTGCATAATGATCGTGATGGAAGACTCTCAACATGTTTGCGATAATGCTATTTTTCGCTGCGTGGGACTCTGCCTTTTTTGATATTTTCGAGAAATACATGCCAATAAAGTGGTTAGAGGTGAGTGATAGGTGAGCGCGCACGAAAGAAGTCGTAGTTAGTCACCAACTATCGAAGTGTGGTTCCGAGACTGCTTGGAGACCGGGAATAGTAAGAAATGGCTGGAGATTGGTAAAGGAAGGAAGGTCATTTGTCATTTTCCTTGTCCTGAAGAGTAGGAGGTTTCCGTCGTGGGTGACGATGCATTTTAATGCTGAGCATTGTTTTTGGCTGGATTATTATAAAAATTGGGGACAGCCGTACGGAATGTGTGCGGAAACACCTTGCGGTTCAGCTCATGCGCTACCCACTTGTTCAGCTTTCTCACTTTTTCAACTGCTTAGATGCCGAAAGTTTTTTATATGCTCACTCCTAGTCTTGCTGCTACAATACCGGTTTTGGAAGACAGGAAAAAATTCATCGCAAACCGTTGCCTCGTCACGACTCTATGAAAAATAGCACAATGAAAATTCATGTTGCAGTTGCTTTGTCTGTAAGAGCCCAGTGATGTATGGGTTGACCCATAATTTCTGGCCGATTTTGGTTCAAATTCAATTTTCAATATGTCAAATTAACTTCATATCGAAATAAGTTGATATGTTGAAGAACACATCAGGACCTTCAACCAGGATGTTTCAGAAGCTCAAATGCGCAACGGGATAATTAAGTAGGAATCAAAAGAGATCAATGACCAAACCCAACCATTATGCCTTACGGCAATTTTAAGAAGAATCTTGCAAGGTGCGCGGTAGGCAAGATCAGCGCTACGTTTGCCCCAGTCGTTGCTACTGATCGAGCACTGAGCTATTGGCTCAATAGCATCGGCAAATAATTGAGGAGCTGCAAAGTTCGACCTCATCATGGACCTCCAGTCACTTTGGATGAGAACGCCTTGCGCAACGAATAGGAAGCATGCTGACGCTATTAGCATGAGCTGTAGGCAAAACAACCTGGAGGCAGCCTACTCTCCATTAGTCAAAAAAAAAAAAAAAAAAAAAAAAAAAAAAAAAAAAAAAAAAAAAAAAAAAAAAAAAAAAAAAAAAAAAAAAAAAAAAAAAAAAAAAAAGGGGCTGAAGCATAATGGAAACTGATGGAATCAGCAGGCATCGACTGACCATGACCGAGAGGCACGCCTGACCATTTGCAGAAGTTTCATTCTTCGACCATATAGACACGATATTTCCTAGTTGGGTCACTAGTGCAGATGAGTCATGAGTCCCACGATAACAACACACAGCACGCCTTGTGGCTACTCGCGGCTGGACTCACCATCTCGACCAAAGCATGAGCTCTCTCAGGCAGGATATTACCCCCGGTTCGTTGGATTCGCTGGGTATCCTGCGTTTTAGGGAACCATTTCACTTTATGCAGACAAGCATTGCGAAGGTGACCATGGAATAGCTCCCGAAGTTGGCTACAGCAGTGCAGAAGAACGGTTGAAACGTCTCAAAATCTCCTTTCTTCGAAGGACCGCCCGAAATCACATTGCAAAGATAACTCGCCACGTTTCGAAGGAAACTGGCTGGACAACGCACGGACATCTGCTCGTATATGTCTGACATTGCTCATCCGTACTGATACCTTGCAGCGTCCCTGAAGCCAGCGCTTTGCGAGTAGAAAGAGTCACCTAATGCAATCATCTCAAATCGTCTTGCGAGAACTTTTCATTCCACAGCTCCATTCATTCTGGGAGGAATGCATCCATTCGCTCCCTAGCAAGTGGATGCTTATCAGTGATTATGATTATGGCTACTTTTTTGATCAATCGTTTTTAAGGAAAGATAAGAACTTGAGGAAATCAAAGTGGTGAATTTCGGCCAGAAATTATGGGTCAACCCAATAGAATCGGTTCATATGGCAGGTCACAAGATTTCTTAGAATCCGGCAGCAACCCTTTTTTTGGCATTTGCTGTATCTTTCTCCACTAAAATCAGTGCCTCCTTGTGAAATAGGCGAACGCGTGCTTCTTCCTCACAACAACGTGGTCTTTTGTGCATCTCTATTCATTCATTCAAATTTGGAACCGGCTTTCGCACACAAATGTGCTTCAATTTTACGACTTCTCTGAAGTTTGCGGACGTGTTGCGCATAGGTGTGAAAAGGAGACAGGAAAATTACTCAGTTTTCCTAGACTAGGAGTAAGCATATAAAACTATGCTCGTAGCGTAATTTTTATGCTTCTTGTTTTTGCTGTAGCTCGGTTGCTGACACCTATGGCTTCTGCGGGTACTCTCACAATACCAGCTCTCCTTTCAGGTTCTAAATAGCTCTGCCATATAGCCGTAAAAATCACACTTTTGACTTGATTCGATTTCACGATTTTTTTTAATTTGGTGGAATACTTCGCAAGGGTCTAGAGGAAGGTCACGGAAACCGCTCGGATTCTGAACTGGGTATATAAACTGGATGTTGTACGGACATCTGTAATAGTTATCCCATCGATTCCAGCCAAGCGCTTCTCTGCAGCGAGGTTGCGAGCCTGTACATGGTCAAGAAAAATGCTATTCATGGCACACAAGCCATTACGGGGTCTCACAATGTTTTCTCCATTTTTGACCTTTGATTCTTCACTTCTCCTACCGTGCATCTATTTGCCCACAATTAAAGTACAAAGGAAGTAAGCAGCTCTATGGAAGTGAATGATTTACCATAAGATTAGGCTAGGTTTATAGTGGAACTGGGGATGCTGCATATATAATGCGCCGTAGAAGGCAAAGACTTCCGTATAGAAGGCGCAATATGGAACTAGAAAAATAGGAACAGTATTCGAGCTGTAGCACAGTCGATCAGGAGTCAGCTTCTACCGGAGTCTTCAGAAGGTCATCATCAACATTAGAGAGAAGTTTTAACACATAGAAATAAATTAGCCCAGCTGTCTTGACACTTTCATTCTGACCTACGAAAAAACCCAAGATAGCAGGTCATGTACAGATTTGAATGCTGTAAAGAACTAGTAGTAGTAATCGTAATTTAGTGGTTGTATGTAGTTAGTAGTGGCAAGTGGGACGCTGGGCGGAAGTGGTGTAGTGGCAAGTGGCACGCTTACCACGCGAGCGGTCCGGGGATCAAATCCTGGGTCGTGAGTCGCCCGGGCCAACCAAGCCTTCCATCCCTCCGGGGTCGGTTAATTGGTACCAGACTTGTCTGGGAGGATAAAAACACTGACTTGTACATCGGCTGGCCCCCGCAAGTCATTGTATAGGCCACATCGCATTCAAACGCCACTACGAATGTACAAATGGAAGTAGAATGCGTGCCGCATCCCAAAAGGGATTGATCAACGGCAAATGCTTTATCCTTTATGTAGTTATAGGCTTGTCAATGATCTGCAGCAATACCGATCTCAAAACAAATTTCTTTTGTTAAAATATCAGACATATGTGACACTTGAAATCAGCATTACTTTCTGAACAACCTTGATTGTCGGAGCCGTATCGAAGGCAAGCTCTGGGGTAAAATAGGTGCCGAAGAGCGCTCTTTATAAGCTAGAGGAGGAGAGCGGTCTGGAAAAGAGGAAGAAAGCAAGGGAAACTCTCGGTTACACCCCAAATAAGCAGCCAGCAGCAGTAAGCTGCATTCCACCTTGAGATAGAGGAGGAGCGTGTTGGACGAGTTTCACGAGCTTAGCTCTAATTGCTCCAGTGCAAGAATCGCAATGGAACCGCTGCCGCAACTGCGCCCGCGCTTTTCAAGCAGCGCCACGTGGCAACCGACAGCGGAAGGCGGGGCTTGCGGACGAAGGTGTGGATTGCGGGTCGAGCGAGCTTCCAGCGCCTTTGTCGCGCACTTTCAAGCCGCAAAAGGGGCGCGACATCAACGCTTGTCGCCTGCCTACTACGCTCGGGTATGGAACAGGTGAGCGTGCGTAATCCCGGAGCGCGCCTTTAAGCGCGTGATAGCTGGTATAATATTAAGAAATATGCAAGAGGCTGTGCTGTTCTAGAACAATGTAACTTGGGTAGGATTATGTCATAATTCATGTCACCAAACAAATATACGCAGTTGTGCCAAAATCGGCGGTAACTTCCGGGATACCTTAATGAATTTTATAACGTCTTTGTGATGGATTGCTGCTTTCAACGTCTCATCAACGCGAAAATAAATGAAAATTTATCAGAGTGGACGTGGATGGAATTAAGCGAGCGCTAAGAGAGAAGATCTATCCTGTGGTGCCGTTGCATATCGGTGTGGATGTAAAATCACCAGAAGGCGTCGTCTTCATGAAACTTGCGAACAAGGACGATGCCAAAGCTGCTTTCACTGCTCTACATGGAGATTGGTACAGCGGTACGTATTTCTAGTTTTTTTTTTCTCGTCATAGGTTAGGAAGAAAACCCTGCAGCAATTCCCATTTCCTTTTCTTCCAAAAATTGCTTGAGTAATTTTATGAGAAACGGATTATCGAAAATTCGCCTCTGCTTTATTGGATGGAATCAAGTGTTGCAATAATCGTTTCAAGATTGCCCTAGAAACCTTCAGTAGTTTATCTCCACCGAATCGTTGCCTAGTGTTATACAATCACCTACAGACGTAAGCAAACCAGCCCTTTTGGCGCTTCGGCTGGGACCGTATGCTGAATGTTGGGGAGGGGATGGAGTCCCCGACGGTGGACGGACCACTTCAACTCGGTCCTTAGAACCGCCACAATTTGGTGCTTACCTCAGAACTAAGCCTTAAAGAGAGGACGGGTCCGTCCCCTCTCCAAGGCTTAGTCCTGGGGTGAGCAAACCAGCCCTTCTGGCGGAGCTGCTGGACCAGCTGCACCACTTGCGTCAGTACTCTCCTATCGTACCAACCGAGTTGAAGTAAACCGTCGACCGTTGGGGTCCCCATCCCCTCCCCAACATTCAGCATACGGTCCCAGCCGAAACGCCAAAAGGGCTGGTTTGCTTACCTCATCACCTACATGGCGATTTCACGATAGCGACCACCGACATCAGCATACGTTCAAGGGAAGCGTCGTTAAGCGCTATGTACAGCGTGTTTTATCTGTACCAACGCTATCGACCCTTTAGTATTTGTATGAGAGCCTCGTTCTCTTTTTTACGGGTAAGATTGTCGCGGAGGCTCAGGAAGAATTCATCTTGTCGATGCCATTGATGCTAGAGGTAAATGCTGTAGAATCCTAGAAGATCGTCGATGTAGCTCGTCAAAGCCCTACTCTGCGGCAATTTTTTGTCTCCCTTATGACGCGCGTCCACATGTGGCGAAGTGGACAATTTCGGAATTGGGCTGATAGCCTTTCTTCATACTGTGCTCTTGTCTTTGCCTGCTCAAGGGCAGAATTACCATCATTCGTTTCGGCTCCTTTTTAATTCCTAAGCGACTACTTCGGAGAAGGGGCATAAGAAATAACTGAGTAAGCTGGGACAAGTGATGAGCACTGATGGTGGATGTAGTGCAAATAATCATTGAATAGAAAAATAAAGTAAGGTCAAAAAAGGGAGATGTTGCAGGGAGTTTTTCTAACCTAACACCTTGGGCGACGTGACTACAGCTTCATGATGATTTATTCTGTGGTCAATAATTAGAATGAGGTTTACGATTTTTGAATTATGTTGAGTTCCTATCACCGAGGATGCATCGCCCAGCATATTGTGTGTGAACTGACCTCTTTTTCTTTTTACACTTTCCACAGTGTTCGAGTTGAAGTGGATTCAAGAGAAACGATTCAGGCAGGAGAATTGCATGGAAATGTGTTGGCTCACTTTCTGATGAGGAAAGGTGTAGTTGCATTATTTTCCCCAGGATTGGTGTACTTATCAGTTCATAAAATCGCAGATCTCTAGCCCTGTGTGAAGATCCAGTCGTTCACTAGTTTCCATGAGTAAGCAGTGAGTTGAGCTGCGTCGTTTCAGAGTTAATGATACGTAATGCACTCGTTTATCAAGAGTTTTACTTTTACAATTCTAACAGCAGATGACTAGCACTAGCATATTCGCCATTGCTAAATAACACCAGCTTTCCTGCACAGTGGACAGACAAGACTTGCGATTCAGAATGCTTCCGCTGTCCTTCTATCATAATTGGTTCGAATCTCATTTGTAGTGTTTTTATAAGGTATCGCACTCTAATTTTACGTGAGAGCGCTGAATTTGGAGTAAACGCACTTTTGAATTCATCACTCATGTGTCAATATTTGAGGACGGTATTTGTATTTTCAGCAGTGTGCGTTTAGTTATGATAGTTTCAATTCGTTATATCCTAGATTATTGGGCAGCTTCATCAGTTTTCTGGTATGTCTTCAAAACGCAACATTTCTTTTCATGGATGCTTCCATAACCCTTCATCGCTGCACGAGTTAGGCATCCACAAAGTTTCTCAACAAACAAGATTTGCTTAATCTTCTTGAAATGATCTGTTTTATTAGCTTTCATCGACAGCCCTTTGTTCCCTATTTGAGCCTATGTTGACGAATCAAAACTTTGCCGCACGGTAAGACAGGTGGCATACTTTTCACTATTTCCGCACTGAAACGAGTATGTTTTAGTCTGTTTTACGCATAGTATGGTACTCTCTACTCTGAATTACCCCTGCAGGAGGCCCTTGGACGTGTATCCATGTATGTATCATTTCCATGAACCCTCAGGGAGGTGGGGGTTTCAAGGGCTTATCCCAGGTGAACACCCGCCCCCTCGCAATTTACGGTCGCATATGCCAATGTGGACAATATTGCGGTGGATGATAGGTAGCGAAATGAATTAGAGGCAAATCAGCTCGGCACTGCATGCTCTTTGTGGGCAACGATCGGTGTACCAGCCATATAGAGCGAGGAACCCAGATTTCCCTACAACGCTTTGGTCCCTTGCTTTGCCAGTCTCTGTCCAGTTTCAGCTCGTTTTCCGGCTGCCTCCAAACCGTATTGCGAATTATCGTTCAACCTCGCTTCCGGTGATGGGATGGGAACAATGTTAGGCGAAATTAGCTGTATGGCTCGGTCCCATTGCAGAAACCTATATTTTATTGGTATCAATTTATAAACACTATTTTGACTAGTCGAAATATTAGGTCGGTCCATAAGTCTTGCAACAAACTACATTTAATGCTATAGAATTTTAGGGAGAACTCCTGAAAATCCGCAACATATTTCCTGACGTAGCATCAACCTTTGCAATTTCAGCCAACGGTCCAGCTCGTTGTCTGCTTACTTATTATGGATATTACACCGATTTCGCGAGAGGGCTCTCGGTGCCCTTAATTTTTACGAGTACTGCTTGGAATGTTCCGCAAGTCATGCTAGACCAAGGATTGGCCAGAAGATAGGCGAGGGCATGCTCTCTCAAACCACAGTGCAACGGCGCTTCACTCTGCTCAGCGTTGACTTTTTTCATTTGAAAATAACCCACACTCCAACCACCCTGTGACTGACAATCACGATGCTCTATCTGACGCCGTTGAAAAGGGATCTGGATAGAGTATCGATCATTTGCTAGAGCGATTCCGATGCGACAAGGAGACAGCACTGTGGCATCTCCAAAGACTTGTGAAGATCCGAAAATGTAGAGTTTGGTCCCCACGTGCCTTGAGCCCGATTCAGCTCCAAACACGATCTGACACCGTTATGTTCAAGTCGACTTACTAGGGATTCTACGATTGACCATCCATCACATTTGCCGAAGATGAGGAGTGGGTACAGTTTACTAACAAATGAACAAGCGGCGGTAGTCCAGCTCAAACGCTTCGGGAGATCTTATTGCTTAAGTTCAACCTCGTCCAAGTAGGGCCTTCTCGGATTTTTGGTGGAACACGGGAGGAGTTAAGCTCTGGAAACCCCTCCGTGTAGATGTCGCAGTCAACGCGAAAGTCAACTATCCACAGCTCGAATGCAACGCTTTTAATACGAAAGAAAAACAAGGCAAAGTTTGCTTTTGTATGACACCGTTGAACCACCTCTTGCTAAGAAAATTCAGGAAAATTTTGAGACTCTAGGGACGGGGAGTTCTTCTGTATCCACGTTATAGCCCTGACCTCGAGGCAAATAATGCCCTTCTGCTCCCCTCTCCAAACCATCTCCTAGAGAAAGCTCATCCTAACTATGATGATGTCAAAATCGACATCTGATCTTTCTTCGATCAGAATTCAGTAGAGTCCTACAAGGGAGGCATCGAGCAGCTACTAGTGTGTTGGCAATAGGTTGTAGATATTGATGGAGGGTAGCATGCCGGATGAATGGAACAAAAAGATAATGAAAATATTAAATTCAAAATTCGGCCAGTTTGTTGCAAGACTTATGGACCGACCTAATAAGTAATCTGAATATATATCGATCATTACAATCACCGGGATGACGTGGTTCGCAGTATGATCAAATACGCTTTTAACAGAAGTTTTCCAGGCCTTCCAGAAATTTTCAATCCGGTTTATTCCTTGTTTCCTTTTTATTGTCATGAACACTCAAATATAAAAAAGCAATAAAAGTAAACACAAACCTTACGGGCCGCAAAATACACCTTTTCACTGAAACAACCAGCTCATGAATAGTTTCAATATTCTCTACAGCATGAGCAGGTAAATTCGCCTTTTCTTTCCCATTACACTTCCTTCTGATCGGAATTCCATTGCGATATCCTCGTATGACCTCTACGCATTGGGCATAGCTCGAATTTTTTTGTGTCGCTCATGTCTTGCACATTTATCATTCCAAGTCCTCGGATGTAAGGGGAGTTGGCCGAGCCCGCAAAATCGTTCCTGTCCTTCGCGGCAAGAAAAAAACTCAAAACGCGGGCTCTCAGTAATGACTTAATTAAGGAAGAAAGAAACGCAATGTAAACGAAATAAGTAAGATATGGTCTCGCTTCTGAAACCAGCGAAATCTTTAGAGAAGCCGCGTAGAGCTGTTATCCGAAATGGTAGTTCATTTCAGCAACCTTTCTTCTCGCGGTTGCGCTCCTTCTTTGATAAATTGCTTGCATTCCTTCTAGAGGTGACATCTCTACATAACTATAAATGGCATGGTTCGCTGTATGGTCATGCAGCTTCAATTTAGCTGAGGTTGCCAAGCCTCACCATGTCTTTAGTCTGGTTCGTTTTTTGCTTTTACCGTTCTCGAAGCGAAGTAAATTTGCTATTTGTTTACCATTACACTTTCTTCTCGTCAAAATTCACTACTGTATCCTAGACAAGTCCTACGTATTGGACGTTGCTGAGATTCTTTTGTACCGTTCATCTCTTACGTAATTAATGTATACGCAGTAGGAGGAGATTCTCGATCCTGATTTGGTTTTGCTTTGCAGTATAGGTGACAAGCAATGTTCTGAAGTTTGTTTGTTTCATCTTGCCCCTATGCGTT